AAATATGCAGGCACCACCCTAAAGTGGACAGCTCCAGCCCTACAGCCCTTCTTTGGGACATCCCTGAGGGACAATGTTGAAGGAACTTCCTCCCAGTGGGCAGAACTTTGAGCAGTGCTCCTGATTGTTCACTTTGCTTGGAAGGAAGAATGGCTAGACATGCAATTATATATTGATTCATGAGCTGTAGCCAATGGTTTGGCTGGATGGTCAAGGGACTTGGAAGAAATGATTGGAAAATTGACAAGAAAAATTTGAGAAGAGGTATGTGGATAGATCTCTCTGAATGGGCAAAAAAAAAGTGAAGATACCTGGGTCTCATGCGAATTCTCACCAAAGGGTGACCTCAGTAGAGGAAAATTTTAATAATCAAGTCCATAAAATGATACTAGTCATTCTCTTTCTCCACTCACCCCTGTCATCACCCAATTGACTCATGAACAAAGTGGCCAAGGAGGCAAGGATGGTGGTTATGTATGGGCTCTGCAACATGAAATTTCATTCACCAAGGCTAACCTGGATATGGTCACCACTGAGTGCCCAATCTGTCAGCAGCAAAGATCAACACTGAGCCCCTGATAATGGTACCATTCCCAAGGGTGGTCAGTCAGCCAGCTACTTCATGTCAGGTTGGTTACACTAGACAGCTTCCATCATGGGAGAGGCAGTGTTTTGTTCTTACTGGAATAGGCACTCTGATACAGATTAGTCTCCTCTGCACTCAGTGGTTCTGCCAAAACCACTATCCATGGACTTAGAGAATGCCTTTCCACCATCGTGGAATTCCATACAGCATTGCTTCTGATCAAGGAACTCACTTCATCACAAATGAAGTGCAGCAGTGGGCCCACACTCACTGAATTCACTGGTTTATCCCACCATCTTAAAGCATCTGGTTTATTTTGGAATGGCCAGCTTTGGAATGTGGAATGGCCTTTTGAAGACTTAATTATAGTAATACTTTGCAGGGCTGAGCAAGATTCTCCAGGAGGTTGTATGTGTTCTCAGTAAGCATCCAACATACGGTACTGTTTCTCCATAGCCAGGATTTATAGGTCTAGGAATCAAGGGGTGGAAACGGCAATGGCACTATTATTACCCTTAGTGCCCCATTAGCAAATTTTTTTGCTTCCTATTTCACAACATTACTCTCGGCTGGCCTAGAGGTCTTATTTCCTCCAGGAAACACAATAATGATTCCATTGAACTAGAAGTTAAGACTGCAACCTGTCCATTTTGGGCTCTTTATGCCTCTAATCAATAGGCAAAGGGGAGAGTTACTGTGCTGTCTGGGGTAATTGATCCTAACTACTAAGGGGAAATTGGGCTGCTACTCTATAACAGAGATCAGGAAGAGCAAGCATGGAATACAAGATATGCCCTAGGGTATCTCTTAGTATTACATGTCCCATGATGAAAGTAAATGGAAAATTACAACAACTCAATCCAGGCAGTTAGTAATGGTCCAGATCCTTTGAGAATGAAGATTTGGGTTGCCCCACCAGGTAAAGAACCACAACTTCCTGAGGCACTTGTTGAAGGCAAAGAGAATATGGAATAGTTAGAGGAAGAAGGTATTTATGAATACCAGCTATGACCACATGACTTGTTACAGAAATGAGGACTGGAATGGTTATGGGTATTTCTTCCTTATTTTGTTATGTTTATGTGCATGTTTGTGTATAATACCTTTTTTTTCTTCCCTCTGTTTACCTCTTATCATATAACATAAGACATATTTACTTTCTACCATATTATACTATTTAAGTATCGTTATTAACTTTACATCATAGTAAGTTACAGGATATCAAGGAGAAGAGTAAACATCACTGAAGGACTTTACCTCTTCTTCTGGGGAAGGAATTAGCGCATTCAGGATCGTTGTATCATATTAGGTGGAAAGATGACCTTGTTACTGTCTTCATTTGGAGATTAAGTATGACTGAAGGAGATGCGTATGCATGCCAAGTTGACGAGGGGGATTTGTGATGGTTAATTTCATGTGTCAACTTTATGTGTTTTGGGATGACATTAACACTTAAATCAGTGAAATTTGTGTAGACAGACTGCCCTCCATGATGTGAGTGGGCCTCATCCACTCAGTTGAAGCCTGAATAGAACAAAACAACCAACTTCCTCCAAGCAAGAGGGAATTCTCCAGCAGGCAACCTTCAGACTTCGGCCCTTCTGGGTCTCCAGGCTGCCAGCCTTCAAACGGAAAGTGCACCATTGGCTCCCAATTTCTCAGCTGCCAGCCCATACTGCAGATATTGGACTCACTAGTTTCCATAATCATGTGTGGCTGAGCACTGAAACCCTCACTTCAGCCCTACCTTCTAACTGCAATAAAAATCCAAGTCAGTCTCCTTTCCTTGTTCTCTCATTTTCAAACCAACTTTGGAAGCCTGTCCTGCTCGCCCCATAAAGCCTTGTTATGTGAGTAATAAATCTCTGAATATCCTCTTGGTGTGTAAGTGGTACCATCAGTCTCAACATCTGAACCAGATTTTGGATCGAGGTCCATTGTCTGTCTTCAGAGTGGCCACAACCGGTGGCCTGGGTTTATAGAAAGAATTCCTTGCTAGATATGTGAAGGAAAAGTGGAGTTGTAGGAGAATGGCTCCTCCATGGTGGCCTGGCATCATCATGTGTATTCGTATACGCTTGAACTGTAGCTAATCTGAGTCTTGGTTAAATCCCTTGTGACCTCCAAGAACATGAGAAGATGGAACACTGTAAGGAGCTCCTATAAGGCCATCTCTCATGCACCTCCTTATCTCTCCTGGGACTCTGTCATGAGGCAGTTTCTCATCACATCCCAGCTTCTGATGAGCTATGGGACTTTCCATCCTGTGTCCCCTAGAATAGAACTGCAGAACATAAAACCACTCAGCTGCAGTCTAGATGTAGCCCCCCAGTAACAGTATCCCAAAACTCATGTCACTGTCATACTGCCCCTTTTGTTTCTTTGTTGTCCTTTAGGGAATGTGGGACAAGGACCTGGGGAGCTGGTATCTTTTTTGGCTCATTCTTCTTTGCACTGTATATTTAAGTAATAAACTGTCTAAATCTCAAAGTAGCTCACTATGTCTTTACCAGTTGAATCCTTCAGGTCTTGGCCTTGGCTTGTCTTGTATGCGTGAATTTATTACCATATAATCCTGATTGCTATTTATGTATTTTACCCATAATATATTATAATTAGCATACCTGTATTCATCCAACAGTTCTTAAACTCAATAAACTCCATGGCATTACTATTTCTTTCAATCATTTGTTTTTGGGAACACTTCAGTAAATTATCAAACGTAGCTGTGGGGCCAGTTCAGCCCTTGAGGGGATATCCCATAGTATATTATGAAGCTAAGAAGTTATGAATAATTGGTACTGGAAGATTCTGAAAAATGGAAATATTTTTCCCAATAAAGAGTACAGGCCACAGTCTAATGGTATCTCACTTTTCACATTTTCCAGTAAACCAATATCTGGTAAAATAACAGCAATATATTTTTGACAAGTAGGAGGTATGACAATCATTTATATAATAAACATTGTTATGAGCATCTGTAGGGGCACCAAGTTCCAGGCTCTGGGGACAAAGAGACAACCTTGTCTGGGTCCCAGACCTAGGAGACCTCAGAGTTTAGATGACAGAGACATTCAGGATAATAAGTATAATCTAATTTTGATAAGAAGTATGAGATAACAAATCAGTAGGGTACCTGGGAACACAAGAGTATAATTACCCAAGATCAAGAAGGGTTTCTCAGAAGCAGTGCTGCTTACAAAGGCAAGGGCTATGATTATCCCCATTTTACAGATGAGAAAACCGAAGATTAGAGAGATAAAGTAACTTGGCAGATGCCACATGGCTAGTAGATGGCCAAGCCAGTTTTGAGCCATGGCCTGTCGGACTCCACTATTTGTTTTAATTATAGCCATCACCTACCATTCCATTCCTCTGGCTCTGTTTGCCTCCAGATTTTAAAAATCTGCTAAAATTAGAGTAAACTCAAGTTAAGAAACAACTTTCAGGGAAAGATGAATGCAAAATTCTCTGGAATTTTTCTGTTCCTCCAAATAGGAGAAACTTGGAAGTGAAAGTTCTGTCCAGCTGTGGGTAATAAAGGGCTCTGAGGTCCTCCTTTCATCTCCTCTTTTCCAGGAAAGTTGTTTCTGGAGGAACTGCTTGTTCTTGGGACTGGAACACACCCAGAGAGCAGTAGAACGGGCAGCTTCATCTTCACAGCCCTTCACACTTACGAAGGTATTTATCTTCTTTGGGAGGGGCCTCCAATGTTGTCCTCACTTTCTGCTTGCTCCTCCTTGACCCACAAAAAATGTCGGGACAGACCTCATGTCTGTTGATTTCAGTACAGTTTCACTAACTCTAACCTAGAAGGTTTTAGCCTTTACCGAATTCTAAGCACAGTCCAAAACTGAAGAAGTATCTATGGTCTATGAAACACAGAATGGTTCACTGCAGTCAGGAATGTAAACCACTTATGTTCTTGTTGTCACCCACCTTCAAATATAACTTTAAAATTAATGAATGTGCAACTAACAAGTCTGCAGCCATTATTCTCCTAAAAAACGATTAAAAAAAAGCATTTTGTGGATTTTTATAATTCCATAAATTTGCTCCCTAAAGACTCCACTCCTTAGATTTTTCACATGGTATGTATGAATTGGACTGTACATGTTGTCAAAAATCTTGCTCAAGAGAACGTGAGAATCCAGGCCCATTTTCCAATACATATAAATAAAAATTTAATTCTTCCAATTTCAGTGGGCCAAATTAAGAGAAAAAACTCCTAACAATGGTCTGTAGCAAGGGAAACACGAGCTACTCCAGGGTATGTTGCCCCTGACTTTTTGGGTATTTGACTTCTTGGGCCAGAAATGGCACCTTAGAGCCAATATGTTCTAAACAACCTAGAAATTTTCTTCCTCTTTTTCTCTATGCCTTATACAGTAGCTTTAATAAGAATTCTGGTAACTATTTTTATAAACTTTTTATTATGGAAAATGTCAAATATACAAAAGTAGAGAGGAACATATATAATGACCATCATTTAACCATCCCCCAGCTCCAACAACTATCAAGTCAAGGCCAGTCTTGTTTCATCAATATCTCCAACACACTTAACATCCAGACTTATTATTTTAAAGCAAATTCCAGGCATCATTTCAACTGTAAATGGTTGAGGATGTATCTCTAAAAGGACTCTTATTTTTAACATAATCACAATACTATTATTCCAGCTAATATCAAATATCAAGTCAATTTTCAAATTATCCAGATTGTCTCATAAACGTATTTATTTTACAGTTTGGTCAAATCAGGATTCAAAAAAAGATCCATTTTCACAATTGGTTGATAAGTCTCTTAAGTCTCTTTTAATCTATAGGTTCATCCTCCATTTCTTTCATCATTTACTGAAGGTACTGGGTCTCTTGTCCTGTCGAGTTTCCTGCAGTCCGGATTCTGCTGATATCATCTCTTGTGATGCAGAGTAATGTTTCTCTGTTCCTTATATTTTCTATAGATTAGAAATTATGTCTAGAGGCACAGTCAGATTTAGGTTCAAAATTTTGGCAAATATATTTTATAGGTGGTGTAGTGTACGGCCATCAAGAGGCACACAATGTCTGGGATGACACAGACATATAAGTAATAATTTTTGTTTTCTAGTATCTCACAGCTGCCTTTAAACTCCTGTGTGACACCTGATATACAAAAGCCACATATAAGCTAAACAGACAGCATTTACTGTGCTAATACCAGATTAGACAGTAAATGCTTTACCACTTAGTGTCATTACAAAATATTTTTATAGACAAACCTTCAGTGATGTCTACCATATTTCAAGTGATGTCTTGTATGCTAGATATATAAAAGGACTAAGGAAATAATGTCCTTGCACTCAGTGTCATAGAACCTGGTGGTAAATACAGACATATAATCATAAAAGCACACAAAAAAAGGCCATAGGTGCCAAATTAGAAGTCTGTACAGATACAGTAGTAGTGCAACAACCTGGAGAATAGTCATTGTAATAAACAGGGTGGAAGTGTCCAAAAGCATAGGATGAGCTGTGTCCTTGGGAGTGTAAAAGAGCTCACCTGTCTTCACAATTCCATTCATCACTGGATTCACATACTTGATTCTTTCAAAGTAAATCTGACCAACATCTATGCCATTCACCTAAAAAAAAAATCTCATTAATAGTTTTATTGGTTCATCAATCCTTCTAGTCAACAAATACTTATTGAGGGTCTAGTATGATTCATCAACCACTTTTTACTGGAAAAGCCTTTAGTGAATTATCCAGTGCAGTCCCACTATGAGGCTACATGAGAGCCTGAGGAATAACAGACTGTCCTAGCTAAAGTATACAGCTAAGAAATCAAGAAAACATCAGTAGTAGGCATTTCTAATCTGTGGACCAATGACAATTATCTCAAATTTTAGCCACTGTTCTACACTCTGAGGATGGGCAGAATTCAGGCTGGGTATTAGCCCTCAAAGAATTCATAGTCTAATAGGCCAACAGTCATTCAGAAAGATGATTACAATATTAGAATGATGCTGAAAATATTTTTGTGTGGTGCTTCCACAAAAAGAATCCTGAAAAAGAACTCTGGCCAGCTGTTACTATTGTAAGCTTTAAAGCAGCATTTTTATCTCCCTTTTCTCAGTCAACTATTGATGGAGAAATTACTCTTTCTCACAATTGGATTCCACTTAAAGGGAAGTGGGAAGAGCAGCTCCAGCTTCAGACCCCTTTAACCCATCTATCCCAGAGGGCCCTCTAATGCTGTTACTTTAGAAGCTACCTATTCCTGCACACACACACACACACACACACACCCCTTATCTGCTGTTTCTAAATAAAAAATGTTGAAAACTTTACAGTTCTCTCAAATTAAATCATAAACAGAATTCGAAATATTTATAGCCATCCCTTATCCCTTTGAGTTACTTTTTCCAAGAATGATCTGATTAACATAGGTTTCTTAGAAAATATAATACATTGATATCCAGAGAAAATATATATCAAATATATCAATATTAACTTAACTCCAACATGTCTTCTTAAAACTTTAAGGTAAGAATAGGCACTTGTCCAGTTGGGGGAAACCCTAGTCTTTAAAAAACAAATTTCTACCTCATGTCTGAAAGTCTTAATTACCTTTGATCAATACACTGTCTTCTTTTGCGGGGAGGGTATGAGTTGAAAGATTCATATGTACATTTTTAGTGCAATCATCATATAAATAATGTATGGGTGCTATGTAATGATTCTGTAGGAAGAAAATCCTAACCGTGGATCAAACTCTTGGAGGATGGAGGTTAATTAGACATCATTTGGTTTGTTACCTTTGTGTCAACTGCCTTAATTTGATTCTTTCGGATTTCTCTTTTTAAATGAAAGGCTTTTTAGGTTCTTTCATGTAATTTTTTCTTGACTGAACTCTAGAAGCATCAAAAGAACTGCCCATGTGAATTTGAAAGCTTAACATAAAGTGTGATAATTGTAAAATGTTCTTTTGCAATTTAGAAATGAAAGCCTTGGGTGTTTTACACATTGCATAAATTGAAGATTTCTGGGCACTGAAGGTAATCCTAACAAGTGATAGAACTCAATACAAATGTTTCTGAGTAAAACATAGTAAATATTTGTAGGCTAATAAGAACTGATTAATATCAACACTGTACTTTTCACATTTCTCAAATAGACAGTTGAACAGTAAAAACAAGAATGTACATTACTACCTCTAAGAACGCCATGTATATGTTAAACTTCCCAGGTATTTGTAGCAGATTTTAGAGGAGGCAGTTTAAATATGAAATAGTCTTAAAACAATAATCTAATTTCTCTGCTGTTAGTGTATACTTTAAAAAATTTCAGGTTACTGTGAATATTATTAGTTGACTTGGATTGTTGGAAAGGTCAAATTGTGGGATTTAGAAAATTTGTTTCAAAATAAGATATCTTTCTGTACAAAAAACATATTTTTGAAACACATATTTGATAATTCCACATAATTAAGAATATGAAATCATACAACTGGTTTTAAAAAGCTGTTCATTCTCTACTCATCCTTTGAGAACATTAATTTTTGTCAATTACAATACAGACTTTACTTAGACGTATTTATATATGGCAAAGATTTTATTTTAAAAAACAGTGGCACCAAAGTTTAAAAAATGAGTTAGCAATAGCCAGTTCTACCAGTGGTTGTCTTCCTTTTAAAAGGTTAATTTGTAGAAGAATAAAGTGTTTAAATTACAGTTATTATCCACTTACATTATTGGTCTGACAATTTTTTTAAGATGTTATGTGTTATAAATAGAAAGCCATTCCCCAACCATATTCTCTTCACAAGGGGTTCCAAGTATCTAAACTTTCAAAATTTCTTAATAGACAGCACATAACAGTCACCCCCAAAACGTTAACTGACAAAAATATTGATCAATTATGATTAAGAGATATGACACATGCTAGGTTGCCCTAAAATTAGAAATGATCTTTCTACCTACCAATACCCACTTCATAAAGCAGGCTTTACATCTACCTACCTGCTATGGTTAGGGGAATAACGTAGTTCAGAAGAGAGCTATACGTTTTCGATAGGATGCCTAATTTCAAGCAAGTATTGAAGCAGATGTCAGAGCTTTCAATTTGCCACCCCCAAAATTTTGTCCTGTGACACAAAATGTTTATCCTAAATCTTTATGAGAGATTGTTCAGGTGTCCTAACAGTTTGAGAAGTCTGTAACAGCTGAGTAAGTCTGTAACAGCTGAATATCAAGAAAGCTTAATCACTCAGTTGGGATATAATTACCATATAATATTCCATTCCTTTGGCTACCTGTATTCAGACAAGTTTAAGCAGACTATCGCAAACCCAAATATTTCAAACAACTTTCTTTGAAAGACTAATTTATACTGAGAGAAACATGGCTGTTCTAGGGCATTGAGAAAGGAGCAAAGGGAGCTGGAAGTTGAGCATGCTCAATCACACTCCATGAGTACCGTTTTCATAACATGTACATATCAGGCTGTGTGCCATTAACGATAACTTCCAGAGCGGCTGTTTACTCTATCAAATATTTTGCTAAACGGCATTTGGGCTATACGGGAAATGGCCGTTTCAAGTAAGTAAAAAATTACCAGTTGTAAAAATGTTCTGAAAATCAAATCATCTACATATGAATCAAGAAATTTCTGAAAAGGGCAAATGAAATGACATTTCTGAAGATAAAATTATTGTTCACTGGGGAAAGAGTACACGATGTACAAGTTCTTAAATACTTTTTAGAAATTCAAAACTGGTTCTTGAAACCAATTCCCATCATAGAAGGGCTTGCTGACAAGGGCTAACGCTGTGAATGAGAAAACAACTTAAGACAAACAAAACTAACGAAAATGCCACACAACTAAGGTGATCAGATTTTACAGGCCTTCCCTACAACACGAACCCCAAGACTGGTACCAGAAATGCACCCGCGGGCACGCGCGCACAAACACAGATACGCGTGAAATGTACAAACCACAGCCCGTATACACGTGTACACACACAAACCTACACACACCCACAAGGGCTGAGTGAGAAACTTTAAAAAACAAAACAAACAAACCCATGTGGCTTTGGCTTTCGGAAATGCATTAGAGAGCTACCAAGAAGCGATTGTGAGAGCATCTGAAAAACGTGCAAGTTGTCTGAAAGCAGTGCCTGGCCACTGAGACAGTTTGCAAGCGTGATTCAGACGTCTGCCAAGGAAACAAAAGAAGCCTCCCTCCTCCCGGGGAGACCGCACACGGAAAGAGAGGTGCTCCGGGCACTCTTTCTCCTAAGGCAGGCGGAAAGCAGAAGTCTGTGCAGGAGCGGTACATACTAGGGATCGCTCTCTGGCAGGGACGGGGCCATGGAGTTTCCATTGGTTGGGGAACCGCCCAGCTTTAGTTTTTCCAGATATTCGGCATGCACGGGCTTGTGGCACTGGAGAACCTTGATCGCATCTTCGATTTTGAACCACTCTCGCTTCCTCCCAATGCTAACCGAATCTTCCCAATCCTCCAGAATCTCAGTGACAGTCAGTACATACACGTACGTTCTGTGCTTGCGATCTTGGTTCTGCTCGAAAATGCCCAGGAGCCGGCCTAACTTCCCCTTGACTCCCGCCTCTTCGTACACCTCTCGGACCGCCGCGCCGCCCGGCTCCTCCTCGGGCTCCATGCCCCCGCCCGGCACGATCCAGCGGTCCGGGTACCGACTGCTACTCACTAACAGCACCTCGTCCTCGCGCTCGCTCCGGAAGCACAGGCACGCCGCCCGCTTCTTGAAGCCCTCCGGGTCGTAGGTGCGCGTCTGGTTCGGCTTGCACTTCATCGTCCAGGCCGCGCGCCGCTGCTCGGTGCCCGCCTTCCCCTCCTCCTCCGCCGGCGGCCGAGGTGCTCCGCGGCGCTCGG